ATGTGTGGTGGTATTTCTAAGGTCTCTGTTCTGTTCCATTGGTTGATATATCTGTTTTGGTACCAGTACCATGCTGTTTTGGTTACTGTAGCCCTGTAGAATAGTTTGAAGTCAGGTAGCATGATGCTTCCAGCTTTGTCCTTTTTGCTTAGGATTGTCTGGGCTGTGCAGGCTCTTTTTTGGTTCCATTTGAAATTTAAAGTAGTTTTTTCCAATTCTATGAAGAAAGTCAGTGGTAGCTTGATGGGGATAGCACTGAATCTATAAATTACTTGGGCAGTATGGCCGTTTTCACGATATTGATTCTTCCTATCCATGAGCATGGAATGTTCTTCCATTTGTTTGTGCCTCTCTTATTTCCTTGAGCAGTGGTTTGTAGTTCTCCTTGAAGAGGTCATTCATATCCCTTGTAAATTGGATTCCTAGGCATTTTATTCCCTTTGTAGCAATTGTGAATGGGAGTTCCCTAGTGATTTGGGTCTGTTTGTCTATTATTGGTGTATAGGAACGTTTGTGATTTTTTCACATTGATTTTGTATCCTGAGACTTTGCTGAAGTTGCTTATCAGCTTAAAGAGATTTGGGGCTGAGATGATGGGGTTTTCTAAATATACAATCATGTCATCTGCAAGCAGAGACAACTTTACTTCCTCTTTTCTTAATGAATCACTTTATTTCTCTTGCCTGATTGCCTTGGTCAGAACTTCCAATATTATGTTGAACAGCAGTGGTGAGAGAGGACATCCTTGTCTTGTGCCAGATTTCAAAGGAAATGCTTCCAGTCTTTGCCCATTCAGTATGATATTGGCTGTGAGTCTGTCATAAATAGCTCTTAGTATTTTGAGATACGTTCCATCAATACCTAGTTTGAGAGTTTTTAGCATGCAGGGGTGTGGAATTTTGTTGAAGGCCTTTTCCGTATCTATTAAGATAATGTGATTTTTGTCATTGGTTCTGTTTATATGATGGATTACATTTACTGATTTGTGTACGTTGAACCAGCCTTGCATCCCAGGGATGAGGCTGGGATGGTGGATAAGCTTTTTGATGTGCTGCTGGATTCACTTTGCCAGTATTTTATTGAGGACTTTCCCAACGATGTTCATCAGGGATATTGGCCTGAAATTTTTTTGCTGTGTCTCTGCCACATTTTGGTACCAGGATGATGCTGCCCTCATCAAATTAGTTAAGGAGGATTCCCTCTTTTTCTATTGTTTGGAATATTTTCAGAAGGACTGGTACCTCTGGTTGAATTTGGCTGTTAATCCATCTGGTCCTGGACTTTTTTTGCTTGGTAGGTTATTAATTACTGCCTCCATTTCAGAACTTGTTACTGGTCTATCAGGGATTTGACATCTTCCTAGTTTAGTCTTGGGAGGGTGGACCATACATTTTTCAAGTCAATTTGGGTCAGTATTTGTTGCAGAAGCAAGACATGTCAGGCCTCTTTATGCATATCCACTTCAGTTACTGCTTCTTAGGGTATACTATGTTGTTTACAGTTTGTGAAAGAGGCTCCTAGGAGTTTAACCTATATAGGGACTGATCAACTACCTACATATGGGTCCAAACTTTTTTTTTTTCAGAGGGAGCCTCCCTCTATTGCCCAGGCTGGAGTGCAGTGGCACAATCTTGGCTCACTGCAGCCTCCACCTCCCCGGTTCAAGTGATACTCCTACCTCAGCCTCCCGAGTAGCTGGGACTACAGATGTGGGCCACTACGTTTGATTATTTTTCATATTTTTAGTAGAGACAAGGTTTTCACCCTGCTGGCCAGGCTGGTCTTCAATTCCTGACCTCAAGTGATCCACCTGCCTTGGCCTCCCAAAGTTTAAAGGCATAAGCAACCACACCTGGCCTCAAACATTTATAACTTCTCAGGTATTCAGCAATTGTGGATGTATAAGAGATTGGTATGACATTCTTTCTCCCCTATGAATTTGTCTGTTACTGAAGTCTATGATGATTCTTAATCCAGTAAGACTTCTAATACTAATTAGGCTAAAATCATTTTATAAATGTATTTCCTCTATATTCAGATTTAAACTGGCCTTTAAAAACTGAATAGTCTCAGAATTCATAATCTCCAAATCCTTCAGTCTCAGGAAAGATAACTTCAGTCTTCGATAGCAAAGCCCCAGCACCAATAATGAAGTCCCATGGGCTGAACTTGTCCACTATCCCGAGTATAAAATAGACACTGGAGTCCTAGCAAAGTGCCAGCACTATGGAACTGTTCTGCTCTCCCTTTCATTATGCTTATCAGTTATTTCAGTTGGACTTTTAACTGGTTCTAAACCCCTGATTTCTCCTTAGACTGGGGTAATTTATATTTATAGCAGATAATTCTGTTGGCAGTATTTGTAGGTTTGTAATGTGGATCACTCCAGTCCTTTGCTCAAATGATGCTCTGACCTCATCCAGTCATTTATGGCTGTCTTCATTTTCCCAGGGTCCCTGAATTCCATCGATTTTATTCTATGTATGCCTCCCCTTTGGAAAGAGTGATCACCTTTGGGGTTCTGTTGATCTGTATTTCTGCTATTTAGAAACTTGGACCTCTTAGTATTCTTAATTTCTTTCTATGTATCATCCCATAAAAATATGTCTCCAAATACAACCATATAAAGTTAGCTAAAGTAAATGTTTTTAAATTTATGACTACTGCATTATCTGGGAACATTCATTTTAAGCAAGACTAGAAATACTGGCAACTCGAAATTGGCCTAGGTTACTTTCACTTTGGTTAACTACTGAAGCACCAACAAACAATGCACAATATATATAAAACGTGAACACGGCCCCCTAATATTTTCCGGGTCCTTATAAAAATATGCTCAAAGTTCTATGGTAAATGTAATCCGCTGTAAGTGAGTAAACAACCAGATCAGAAATATGCAGAAAAGCACAAGCCACTATTTTTACACCATTAGACTGGGCGTAAAAAGTTTCAGCATTGAAGAGTTATTTTTAAATCTCAGTTATAGCTCCTGTGTTATATTTTTTGTGCATTGTCAGGCCTACTGCTGGCCTGGCCATGAAATACTACTCATTCAAAAATATCTTACCTCTCCTGGGTAGAGTTATTTCATCTAGAGGAAATTCCCTCATTCCAATATCTAGCCCAGGATTTGGTTCTTCTAATTGTAGTCTTGTCTGTTTCCCTTTTAGTTTTACATCATGCTCCTATAATGTCTGTTAGATTTCTAATTCCATAAATTTATTGAGAATTTCCCCCCAGGGCACAAGAAACATCTGCATCTCAATAACTGAGTCACCTTGAAATCACCCAATGTTTTCAGTATTTTAGGCTGTCCAAATTTTATGCAATCATATTCGAGAGCTGTACCAATCTTCAAATAATGCCTCCCCAGTTGGCTTTCTTATAAATCTTTCTCTCTGCAACTTGACAGGCTAAATGCCATTTTGTGTGTGTGTGTTTTTTTTTTTTTTTTTTTGCATCTTGGTTTTCTCTGGATTGTTTATCTTATAAGATCTCACCCCTTCCTGTTGAGTATCTTTGAGTTGGTATTGACTTCCCTAACATAGTAACCATTAAAACTCCTTTCTTGATAGCATTATTTTTAAAAGCCAATATCTCTGCACATATTTTTAAAGCATGTAAATTTTATCTCTTTTTAAAATAATTTCAACTTTTATTTTAGATTCAGGAGGTACCTGCACAGGTTTGTTATATGGGTATATTAAGCGACAGTGAGGTTTGGGGTACCGATTCCATCATCTAGATAGTGAGTGTAGGACCCAATAGGTAGGTTTTCAGCTCTTGCCCACCCCCCATTTTTTTTCCCCCAAATAGTAGTCCCCAGTGTCTATTGTTCCCATCTTTATGGCCATAGTACTCGATGTTTAGCTCCCACTTGTAAGTGAGCACATGCGGTATTAGTTTTCTGTTTCTGTGTTAATTTGCTTAGGATAATGGCCTCCAGCTGCACGGGACATGATTCTGTTCTTTTTTATGGTTGCATAGTATTACATGTTGTGTATGTACCATAGTTTCTTTATCCAATCTGCCATTGATGGTCTCCTAGGTTGATTCCATGTCTTTGCTATTGTGAATAGTGCTGCAATGAACATATGACAGTGTGTCTTTTTGGTAAAATGATTTATTTTCCTTTAAGTATATGTATTTTTAACACTGAAGTCATCAGCTTTAAAACCTGAAATCTCCTATGAAATTCACCCACATTTTTTTTCATTCCTCAATTCTTCCCAAATGTATCCTTATTTCTAGAACAAAAGCTTTTTCAAAACATACCCTAGAAAACATCCTATTTCATTAAATGGAGTGGTCCTCAAGATAAAGGGTTGATTGGAAAGGAGGCTCTTTGGCTTATCACAGTAACTGAGGACATATTTTGCATTTGTGAGGCTAAGAGTGAAATGTCAAATGTACTGTCATAAATAGACTTATCTCCAACATTGCTCTCCTTAAAATACCAATAGCACATCCAAGAAAAAATACTATTATAAACAATAATCATGTTTATCTTCTAATTTAAGTCTTTTCCTTGCTTCTATGACAATCTAAATTCCCAGATTGAGATATCTCAGATACAGGCCCATTTTAGTTGTTTGTTTTTCATTTTATTTTTGTGATGGTTTAACTTTCTTCTTACCACTGTTTAATAATAAAATATTCCCAATGCAGTTTTATTTTTTTGTTAATAAAGCCCCCCTGTATTTAGATGGGTAGCACATCTGTTCTCCAAGTTTCATAACCACAATTTGTGAACTGTGAGGAGTAAAATCTCAAGGAGAATAGATGGCCTAGTCTATAATTTCCATGCTAGTTCATTGGTCCTCTTTGAAGATTATCAGTTAACCAAAAAATATTTTGTAATGTGCTTGAGACATGGCTGAGAAACACAACCACAGAAACAAAATGATTCTATCAACAAATTCCTAGATATCTTAGGCTCAGAAGCTATTTTTAAGTGGGTCTTAACAACTAAGAAGTACTGTCAAAGAAATTAAATTTACCTGCCATGGCTGTAAACAAAGCATCAACCTCCAGGTGTTAGTTGGTTTCCAAATTCTGTTTCTCAAATACTGTAATTGCCTAAAATGTTGGAAATAACAATCTATTTTCAGAACCCATTGAAAGAAATATGAAAATCAACATATTTTATTTTTACTATAAAGTTGTTTGAGAACATTAATAGTGTGATATTTATAGTTTAGTTGGCTCTTTTGCAGCCCCTCTCAATCTTAAAATAGCTTACCACACGGAAATTTTGGGTTTACAAGGCAGATGTACCTACCCAGGGTGACTGCCGACACGGATTTGAAGCTCTTCACATGCCATCAACAGATAAGCCTTTCTGCCTTAAAACCTGTTAAAAAGCAATACATACAGAACATTTGTAAGACAAAGTTTCTTGAAAGAAAGCATGTCAGAGGAGGTTGGAAAAATGCATGCTTTTGAATCTTAAGGCAACCATAAGTGCATCAGGTGGACCAAGAGTAAAAAGAGCCCTCCACGAGAAGTTGACATGTGCAAATATAGAAGCACAAAATACATGTTACATTCATGTGGGGTACTGTAAGCAGTTTGGCATGACCGTGAATTAAATGCAGATAGAAGGAGTATTTAGCAGAAATGCATTAATGCAGGAAGAGGTCAGAACATTTAAGATCTTATATGACAGATACAGAAGCTGAGCATTTTTCCAAAGTCTACAGGAAACAACTGTTGCTTTTAAGCTAACTTAGTAAATTATATATCAATATTAGAAAGGTCATTTGGTTCCATTATGAACAAGGGAAGGTTTGAGGCATTGAAGGCATATTATGAAAGAACCACCTTACCACTGTTCAAATGAAAGATGATCAGAGACTAGACCAAGTAAATGGGCCTGTTAATAAGGAGTTAAATTGAGGAGGTGACAGAAAATTTAATGATCGTTTGAATGAGGTAAGTAAGAGGAAGAAGTCTCCGCTAACTTCTAGATTTCATTATTTAATAATTGATGAGGTAGTCATGCCTATAAGCATAAAGAGAAGTGGCCAAATGTGGGGAACATAACAGTGAGTTTGTGAATAAAGTTACTGATTTTGAATGCTTAATAAACACCAAAAAGAGAGACATTCAGTATATGTTTAAGTATCATTTTGGATCTCAGAAAATGGGATCCAGATGGAAATACAGAATTATGAGTTATCAGTACATGGGGTTTATGTATAGCTAATTTGGAGAAAAATGCAGAATGAGAAGAGAAGTGAACCAAAAAAAAGGTTAACATTTAAAAATGTGGTTAGCAACAAATAACAGAATACCCAATTAGTCGTAATTTTTTAAAAAGACTCAGTTTTCTCACATAACTAGAAATCCAGAGGGGATCACTCCAGGGCTTTGCAACTGTTTACACTGCCTTCAGGATCCTAGGTTATTTTTGTATTTCGACTCTGAATCTACTGGTGTGTTGGCTTTCATGTTCACATTTACCACTTCATGATAACAAGAAGATGCTGCATCTCTACCTCATATCCACATTCCAGACAGGAAAACAGTTAAGCACAAAGGGGCAATTTCAATATAAGAAGCAAAACTTTTTTCCCCCAGAAACCTTGATTATCTCTCATTGGCAAAAAATTGTCATGTGACTGTAACTATCCAAAAGATTAATTGACACATTATTTTGACACATTGCAATCGCAAGTGTTGAAAGTGTTAATAGTAGGTAATTAACAGAATCTGTCTGCAAAAACGTAAGAAGTCTGCTCTATAGGTTATCAGAAGAAGCAGGTCTTCTGAAAGATCTTGATAAGGAGCAATCCAAGAGACTAGGAAGTGAGGAGAAGCAGCAAACATATGCGACATCCATAGAGGAGAAGTGAGTAAAACTTACATTGAGAAAGCCCTGAAGGCCGGGCGGGCTGGCTCACATCCGTAATCCCAGCACTTTGGGAGGTCGAGGTGGCAGATTAAGAGGTCAGGAGATCGAGACCATCCTGGCTAACATGGTGAAACCCCGTCTCTACTAAAAATACAAAAAATTAGCCAGGCGTGGTGGTGGGCGCCTGTAGTCCCAGCTACTCAGGAGGCTGAGGCAGGAGAATGGCGTGAACCCGTGAGACAGAGCTTGCAGTGAGCCAAGGTTGCGCCACTGCACTACAGCCTGGGTGACAGAGCGAGACGCTATCTCAAGAAGAAAGGAAGACAGCCATCTATTTTCAGGGCTTTTTCTAATTGCTCTATTTCATTTGTACATAAACTTGTCTTTACTTGAACACCTGCTGTTTAAAAATCCTACATATCTTTCAGGTTCTGCTCTACTTGCTTTTCTACTTTCTTTGATGAACTTCTTTAATGTCTCACTGAATAAGATGCATTTTTATTCATCATGTGCGTCATTATAATCTCTTCATACAGTTTGGAAACTCTTTTTTCATTTTTTTAACAGTGGATACTGTGGAGCCTCTTGGTACTAAAACACTTGTTCCTTCAGATACTGTGTAAGTAGGAAGCTAATAGCATATAGCCGAGACCCAGGCAGAGATCACCTTTATTTCAACATTGCCTCCTCCTCCAAAACAACTTGCTTGGAATGTCTCCTTGATGCAGGTTATAAATAATCCCCTTATCCTGGCCCCATTTCTGGACAATTCTACAGTGCCATATCTTCTTAGGGTCACAGACTAACTTGTTTTTTCATCTAATCCTGCTTTCTTCACTCACCTCCCAGGAGTTTACCCTGAGAGTATGGCGCCATAAGAGTTTTTTACCATTAATCTTTAGCTCAGACTGTGCTTCCAGGGAACTCAATCTGAAAAGTGGACATTTAATCAATTTTCAGAATATATACTGAAAGAACATTAAAATAAAGAAAATTAAAATAAAGAATATATAGTATTGACTGATTCATTTCTTCATTCAACGTTATATGCGTGAAGTACTGCCATCTTCTAGGCACCGTTCTGCAATAAGAGGAAAATGAAAGAGTCAGCATCTCTACCTCACAATGCTTATATTTTAGTAGTAAAATACAGAGAATAAGCAAATAAAATGTAGTTGTACTGTATATCTAGATTGTCAGTGAAAAGTACTTTGGATGTCAATGTAATGTATTAAGATGCCTATTCGATATCTAAGTATAAAATTGTCTAGGCAATTGAATACACAAACCTGGAGTTTAGGGTGAGATCTTGATCAGAGATCTATATGTGAGTATCACCAGGACATAGATGGTATTTAAACCCCAAAAGTCAATTGAGGTCACCTGAAGAGTAAACAGTAATAAAGGACTGGAGATTGAGTCTTGGGCCACCACTATATGTAGAGGTCAAGGAAATGAAGAGCCAGAAAAAAGACTCCGATGTAGTGACTTGTAAAATAATAAAAGAGAAGCAAGAGTGAGTCTTGATCCAGATACATGAGTGGAATGCAAAACAGTCCAAAGGAAGGAGTGAAGAAGTAAAATGGATTTTAAAACATTACCAAATCCTTACTCTCAAGCACTAGGCAGTTAAACAAAGTAGAGAATAGTGGAAACAGAACATTTGTCAGAAGAAAATTGATGCAGCTTAAATTCTGATTGGATTTTGGGTAAGAGTGAGGAGAAAAAAAAAAAAAAAAAAAGGATGGCCATGAGTGTATTGTGACAAAGAAATTATTAACTGAATTAGGAATATTAGTGATGGAGCTGTTTAAAGAAAACAATTTAACAAAAATGCATGAAGTACTAGGATGTACAGAACACTATGGTAAGCACGAGCACACAATTAAGGTACCGCTCTCATGAAGAGCATATCAAGTTGAGGATATATATTCTTAATATATTTTCATCCTTACATCAGAGATTTTTAATCAACAAACTATAAGAAGAATCTCTGAGGAAAGGTGAATAAAACAAATGGCTTTTAATAGTGACAATTAAACCCAAAGACTGTTGAACAGAATATATAAATTATTTTATGTTTTAAGGATAACGAGATGAATAAGGCAACATCAGCAATTACCAACAGAATTCTTACCTACATGGGGAAAAGGGAGAGGCTATATTTATGATGACCATGATGATAACATTATAAAGATGGCCAACTTGTATGCAACATAGGCTTTACAATGTACACTGTGTACCTGTTCTCACAACAATGTGAAATACAGGATTTCTATCTCCATTTATGAACAAAGAAATAGAACTAGAAGTTAAGTAACTATCCAAGATGTTAAATAATGGTATGAAGATTTGAACCCAGACCTATCTGACTTCAACACATATTGCTTAACTGTGTTACACCCCTCTTTAATCAGAATGTGATTCTGTGCATTTTCAAGAGGAAGAGATGATATTCTGCTGGGTTAACTTAGGAAGGATTTGTCAATAGTGTTTGTGAACTACTCTAGCCATGTTTATATTTTAATAAAAATATATGTCTATTAAAAATGTTTCTGCAACTATAGAATTTCATTTTTAATAATAAAAGTTGTATGACACTCGTGGTGTCATGTGCTCTGCATACTTCCTCTTAATAAATTTTCCATATTGGGGAGCAGTCAGAATGACTTGCAAAGTTCAAGGTGTTAGGAACTATAAGTCTACCATTGTCATTGCACTACAAACTATATTATTTGATTAGAGAGGATATCAAATAATCTGAAAAGTATCCATGCCATTTAGATAATGTATTTTAAAGGCTGAATTGAAGTTTGAATGAAACAATTTATCTGTGATTTTGGTTTCACTGTGTGTGGGACTAGAAGTATCTCCTTTTATGCCTCATTAAAAAATAAAAATAGAAAAACCCTTCTCATCCTGGATGGAAAAAAAAATAAGTATTCAGCTAAAGAGTTTGTTTTGTTTCTGTCTGAGTTTGAGAGAGATGTCTAGTTGTGTTTATTGTTTTTAAGGATTTTGGCAAGACAAAGAAAAGCATTGTTCATTATAAAAACCATAGGGGAAACTTTAAATTAATAAAGAGAGAATGAGAACAATTTTAGGCCATTTCTTTGAAGTTACTAGGCAATTCAAAGTCAAAGGGAAGAGCATCAAAGAATCCTTGTCTAGGAAGGCCTCCCTTCCCCAGATCAGACCTAAATATGTTTGGAAGAAATATATTTAATCCAATGTGCTTAATTTTTTTTTTTTTTCAAATCGGCTGAAGTTGGAGTTATTTTCCTTTTTTTCTCTTTTCCAGTTGCCTTCCCTGGCCTTTTCTGAGTCCTTTGTACATTAATATAACCTTCCCAAAATATCTTCCCTCTTATAACTACTACTTCTGACTTAACCTGTAAAATATTTAAAAATCTGATTACATTACCTTTAAGCATGAATATGTACACAAAATTGTACGTGCACACAAAATCCCTCTCCCAAATATTCACACAAATCTT